TTTGTAAAATTCCCAAAAAATACACAGTATAAAGCTTTTGCCTTAACTGAAGTTCTATAGCAATAGTCGATATTAACAGCTTCAATAATATTTAAAAACACAGTATTTTGGCAGAAACAGCAGATGTATAGAAGCAACCCTTAGATTTGAAGTTTTAGAAGTTTTGCACTTGTGGTACCTCATTTCTTTTTCCCTTTTTTGTATCTTTTATACTTTCACAAACATTATTTCAGCAGCTTTAACACAGAAAATTTGTTAAGGAGCATAAGACGTGTTCACAACAAAAAACCATCATAATATTTAAGCATAAGCTAAAACCTTCATATCAGGAGTGTTCATCATGGTACTAGGAACAGAACCTCTTTCCCAGGAGTATTTAACCTTCTATATCTCAACTGATAACATGTCCGCAATGAGCACAGTATTCACATAAACAACTATGAAATAAGCACAAATGAGGAAAACACAGCAATCTTTGACTAACATAACACACAGATGCAGAGTCTGGCTGTGATCACTGCCAGAGAACTTAGTTGACACAGAGCAAAGCAGACACACACAAACATCCAATCAACCCACACACTTCACTTTTTCAATGGTATACCCTTTCACACGTGTTTGAAGTCAAAGTCAGTCACTGGAGTCAGTCAGCAGTCTTCACCTTCTTTACTCTTACTTTGAATTAATTTAAGTGTTTTGTACTTTTTTAACATTCCTACAATTCCTGTGTTGAGGATCAGTCCTCAGTTTTTATTTCTGATTCTTGTTTTGATTTTTCCAATTTGTGTGATTCTTCTACAATTGGTCAGGAGATATGGGACGTGCTTGTTCAATTGGGATCCCTGAATAGGCCTTTCAGCCTATCCTTACTGACCTCTTTTTTTATCTCCTGCTCATCAGGCCAATCTGTATCTGTAATTTAAGTCCAATTATAACACTGATTTTGTGAGGTCTTTGATATATAAAAGATATATATATATATATATGCACATTTCAAATATGTGCTATTCCGTCATTATACTTATTCGGCCCTCTAGAGTTCTGGATCAGAATTTATGAGGAAATATGCCACTTTCGTTCTCCTTTTGGCTTTTTCTTAAGCCTCAGCGGAACTCCACATGACAAATCCTCCTTTCTAGTGGAGTTTTACTGAAAGAAAATCCACGTATGTATTACTAGATGAATCTGCTCGTCCGTCGGCTACCAGCAATTGAGCTCATGAAAGAATTACCTAAAACTCACAGTTCAACAATGGACAGACACACTCGTGCCTGCCGCTTCCCTTGTTATCCCAACAATTACCCAGAAACTTTTATCACCAGGCATTCAGCCTAAAAACACATCACAACCCGGGCCAGGCTGTCTCCCCAAACTACTGGCCTATGCCGCTTAGCACCCAGTCTATTAGCTCCACACATCTACTAGCCTATGCCGCTTAGTCACCCAGTCTACTAGTTCCACACATCTACTGGCCTTGTGCCGCTTAGTCACCCAGTCTATTAGATCCACACATCTACTGGCCTTGTGCCGTTCCGCACCCAGTCTAGCTAATTCCACACAACTACTGGCCTGTGCTGCTCCGCACCCAGTCTAACTAGTTCCACACAACTACTGGCCTGTGCTGCTCCGCATCCAGTCTAGCTAATTTCACACAACTACTGGCCTGTGCTGCTCCGCACCCAGTCTAGCTAGTTCCACTAAACTACTGGCCTTGTGCCTCTCTGCACCCAGTCTACTAGCTTCACAAATGACAATCTCACACATATAGCAGCGTGAGGCGGTCTCACACATTGAAGGAGACGAAGTGCTTCTCTGCAACCAGTCTATAGCTTCATATATGACAATCTCACACATATAGCAGCGTGAGGCGGTCTCACACTTTGAAGGAGACGAAATGCGTCTGCACCCAGTCTATAGCTTCATATATGACAATCTCACACATATAGCAGCGTGAGGCGGTCTCACACATTGAAGGAGACGAAATGCATCTGCACCCAGTCTATAGCTTCACATATGGCAATCTCACACATATAGCAGCATGAGGCGGTCTCACACAACCAACTGCAGTTTCCCCTATATTCAGCTGATATATATCCAATTTAAATTGGCTTCCTCTCCCAAATTTAGCACACTTTGATCAGCTGACTGCATGCATGCAATTTTCTCAGACTGTCTTCATTCCCACTGTCTCCTCTTATTTCTATTCTACACTCACCGGCCACTTTATTAGGTACACCTGTCCAACTGCTCGTTAACACTTAATTTCTAATCAGCCAATCACATGGCGGCAACTTAGTGCATTTAGGCATGTAGACATGGTCAAGACAATCTCCTGCAGTTCAAACCGAGCATCAGTATGGGGAAGAAAGGTGATTTGAGTGACTTTGAACGTGGCATGGTTGTTGGTGCCAGAAGGGCTGGTCTGAGTATTTCAGAAACTGCTGATCTACTGGGATTTTCACGCACAACCATCTCTAGGGTTTACAGAGAATGGTCCGAAAAAGAAAAAATATCCAGTGAGCGGCAGTTCTGTGGGCGGAAATGCCTTGTTGATGCCAGAGGTCAGAGGAGAATGGCCAGACTGGTTCGAGCTGATAGAAAGGCAACAGTGACTCAAATAACCACCCGTTACAACCAAGGTAGGCAGAAGAGCATCTCTGAATGCACAGTACGTCTAACTTTGAGGCAGATGGGCTACAGCAGCAGAAGACCACGCCGGGTGCCACTCCTTTCAGCTAAGAACAGGAAACTGAGGCTACAATTTGCACAAGCTCATCGAAATTGGACAATAGAAGATTGGAAAAACGTTGCCTGGTCTGATGAGTCTCGATTTCTGCTGCGACATTCAGCAGTAGGGTCAGAATTTGGCGTCAACAACATGAAAGCATGGATCCATCCTGCCTTGTATCAACGGTTCAGGCTGGTGGTGGTGGTGTCATGGTGTGGGGAATATTTTCTTGGCACTCTTTGGGCCCCTTGGTACCAATTGAGCATCGTTGCAACGCCACAGCCTACCTGAGTATTGTTGCTGACCATGTCCATCCCTTTATGACCACAATGTACCCAACTTCTGATGGCTACTTTCAGCAGGATAATGCGCCATGTCATAAAGCTGGAATCATCTCAGACTGGTTTCTTGAACATGACAATGACTTCACTGTACTCAAATGGCCTCCACAGTCACCAGATCTCAATCCAATAGAGCATCTTTGGGATGTGGTGGAACGGGAGATTCGCATCATGGATGTGCAGCCGACAAATCTGCGGCAACTGTGTGATGCCATCATGTCAATATGGACCAAGCTCTCTGAGGAATGCTTCCAGCACCTTATTGAATCTATGCCACGAAGAATTGAGGCAGTTCTGAAGGCAAAAGGGGGTCCAACCCGTTACTAGCATGGTGTACCTAATAAAGTGGCCGGTGAGTGTAGGTTCTTTGATTCGAAGAGGACAGAGAACAGTAGAACTTTTTGTGTGCACAGAGTGTCCTTATCCCATGTGAAGTTCGCAGAACCATGGTCCCTTGTCCCCAAAATGAATTCTGGCTAAAGCTTGCCATTATGTTGTGGAAAATCCAGCATAAACAATGCACAGGAGACAGGATGAGAGCTGAAGAACAGCCTGGGCGTCTTTAATTGTACAGATGTAGAAATCAGTACAGATGACAAACAGAGCCTCGACCAAGTCTCGAAGGAAGCCTTCCCTAGCTTTTCTTCTACTCTCTTTTATGCTGTTAGGCGTGTGTGTGTGTGTGTGTGTGTGTGTGTGTGTGTGTGTGTGTGTGTGTGTGTGTGTGTGTGTGTCTGTGTGTGTGTGTGTGTCTGTGTGTGTGTGTGTGTGCAGAGGGCTGCCCATGATGACATGTCTGCCCCACGACACTTTGTTTAGGTTCGTCTTGACCCTGGCAGAGATTACATGTTCCAACAGACAGATAGTTTGGGCTCCTGCAAGACAGCCTTGCTTACAATCTCATGGTCGTGGGGCTGCAGGAGCAGGCCAACCTAGATTATTTGTAGCTTCTTACTAAAAGATAATTACTCTACATTTCTTAACCTAAATGTATAAAGAGATTCCCCTACAAAAGCTGCTCTCAAAGTTAACTAAAGTGACAACGTTCTTCACTGGATGACCCCCCCCCCCCCCCCCCCCCCCCATATTAAGAAGTATTTCTTTATCCCATTGAAGACAGGAAAGCTTATGGGTCATTTTGAAGCAAACTTTGAATTTCATTTCTATTTGCTACAGAGGATGAGAAATCAATTATTTCGTTTTTTTTGTTTTTTTCTTGTTGAATTTGCAGGCAAACTTCAGGCTTTGGGGGGGTCTTTCTTCAATCACCGATAGGTTTTACAGGTAATTTTGGTAGGTGTTTTTAGTCCTTAATGTGCTAAGTCACACATTCAAACCAATAGAAACTATTTAAGTTAACAACTACTCACTCTGCATTAACATGATCCCTGTCAGTGTTATAGCTTTGCATTAATATTGCTTTAATGTGTGTTGCAACAGATGTTTAAGGTTGAGCAAATTTTTAAATGAATTTATTTACTGTTGGGCAGTTTAAACAATTGTCATATATTTGTAGCATCACTAGTCTTTACTGTGACTTGCAGCCTGTTTTCAGCCTTGTCATGATGCACTTTCCAGCTGGCCCAAGACGATTTTTTAAAGAGTTTTGACTTCTTAAGAAGTCACCCTTCAAAGGAAGACTCTTTCAGTTTATCACAAATATTAGCATTAAATCATCAATTTGAGGTTGACATGGTTTCCACTGAGCAGGAAGGGTTTGAAATATGTAATCAGCACATAAATAATGTACATTAGTGGAGTAGAAAGTGCAGTATTTGCCTCTGAGATACAACGGAGCAGACAAAAAATTGAAGTGACATGACATCCTCAAATTTCTATTTTAGCAACTGAGTAAATATACTTGCATTTCACCACTGGGTAAGAGCCTTATACTGTTTTTTGTGTGTGTTTGTTTTCAAAATGAGACAGGGATGGGCTGTGACAGTGAGAGTTCCGAAATTATCCAGCCAGGCTTTGAGGATAATGTTGTTCCACCAGATTGCGAGAGTCCAGCATCATCCACTCTGCTAGTAAGCGCTCAGCACAGTGTACATCTTGAAGATGACCCAGCACTCTAGCCAAAACACCTGTCTGACAGTGCACGCTGCTCAATAGTGCAGAGGGGACCACTTCAGGTGAAGGACAGGATGAAGATGGGCACAGATTTACTAGCAGCAATTACTACATGCAAATGAAAAATGGATAAGCAGATTATGGCTTGTCTACAGTGAAAAGAACGATGTGTTATTTGTTTTTGCTGCCACCTTTTTGGAAACAGAGGAAGGAGCAATCAGCTGAGTGAGGATGGGTTTAATGATTGGAAAAATCTTTCAGCCCACCTGAGACAGCATGAAAAGTCAAGTGAGAACATTCCAAATATGGATGCTTGGTGCAACCTATCACAGAAACTCCAGACACACACGGCTATAGATCAGGTGAACCAAAATCTTCTTTCTCTTAAAGTAGATCGCTGGGTTCTGACGAGATTAATTGTGATTGTTAGCTATCTGGCAGAGCGCAATCTAGCATTTCGTGGCCACTCTGACAGGCTGTTTGAGACTGGAAATGGAAATTTCCTTGGGCAACTTCAACTCATGGCTCAGTTTGACCCATAGACTGTATATACTATGGACAATGTGGTTCCGCCTACCGCCTGTATACAGATTTGAAGCCAAATAGCTCTCGGTATTTCCAGGATTTTTCTTAATTTCCTGAAAACAGCGCTGCGCAGTAGCAATGCGCGCATTCGGCCGTGCAGTCGCAGAGTCGCTGTGATGACTAAGAAGAAACAGCGTATCCCCGGGGTGAGCTACGCAATCCCTGAACGCCCATAGGATGTATCAGATGTCAATCATAGCAAACATGAACCCCCTAATAACTTTTAAAAACGGAGCTTCACAGAAAAAAGAGGACTTGAGCACAAACCAGTCTTAGTGTAACAACATGTCAACATCACAAGCAGGGGGGAGAAAAAATTATGTTCTGTGTAATAAATTTCTAAAGTTTGTCCACAGCTCCATAAGCTTTGCTGCCGGAGGTGGGATTTATGACCTGTACTGCAGCCCATCACCAGAGGGTGCTGTTCTCGGAGTGGCTTCACCCAGCAAGGAGGCAGACTCTGTCCATTCTATATACAGTCTATGGTTTGACCCAAGCACGAAAATGTCACTGCGCCAGCTGATTCTGTCAACACCTCCCCCTGCCACGCCACTTGGGGGATCTCGGCTCGCCTCCGTGCGACTCAGTCCACGAAAATACCAAACTCGCCTTACGCCGGGCTCCGCCAGACGAAAATACAACTGCGCGGGGCTCGCCGCCCTCCGCCGCCTCACCGGCGCGAACGAAAATAGAGCCCCAAGTCTTTGTGTGTTCCTTGTGGAAGTCACACTTTGAACCTTGTTGCTGGGGATGCTGCCAAGTCATCTCTGACATCCATCAGCTTCTTTGGTCTGCTACAGCGACTTTACACTCCGTTCAGCTCCTCAGTTCACCACTGGTCCATTCTCACAGAGCAGTCAAGAACTTCACACTGAAGACATTGTTAACAACCAGGTGGGAGTCCAGGGTTGAAGCTATCAAAGCTGTTCGCTACCAGCTTCCTAAAATTGTGAAGGCATTGATTGTTCTAAAGGAATATGCCATGGAGAAAAGGGATGCAGAAGTTGTTTTAACAGCTGGAAGCATCTGCCAGGAGACGCAGAGGTGGCCTTTTGTGGTTAGTACCGTTGTGTGGTGTAATGTGTTGTTCCAGATAAATAAAGCCAGCAAGACCCTGCAGAGCCAGAAAGTTTCAATTGAAACAGTCAGGAAAGAAATCAGGGCAGTGACCGAATTCCCTCAGGAATTTTGGGAAGATGGGTTTAAAGCTGCCAAAACAGAGGCCAGGAAAATAGCAGAGAGGCTTGAGGTGGAGATGAGCTCGCCAGAGGTGCGTCAGAGAAGAACGACCCAACAGTTTGAGTATGAAGGAAGAGGGCAGACTCACAAAAGAGAGTTTTTCTTGCCTTTCATTGATACAGCTCTTAATACATTAAAGGAGACATTTTCAGTCATGGAAACCTACTGTGAGCTGTATAGATTTCTCTACTCCACTGACATCATGAGAAACACTGAGGGAGGGAAGCTGGATGAATGCTGCCACAGACTGGAGCAGAGAATGGATGATATTGATGCAGAGGACCTGAAACTTGAGGTAAAAAGTGCAGTTAGGTCCTTCCGCACACATATCTCATCACCTTGATTTTATCTATGAGGAGAATATCCTAGACCTATATCCAAATATGAGTATAGCTCTCAGACTTCTGCTCACTCTCCCTGTGACAGCAGCTTCAGGTGAGAGAAGTTTCTCGAAGCTGTAGCTAATTAAAACATGTCTGAGGTCAACAATGTCACAGAAAAGGCTGTCTGCACTCGCTGTTCTCTCCATCGAGCAAGAAGTCAGGAAGTTAGTGAATATAGATCTCCTCATTGCAAGATTTGATGAGGCCAAGGATCGCAAGATAAGATTTTAGGGAAAACAAAAGGGAAAGAAATACAAAAACTACAAGAACTAGGGCCCCGTTGGGGCACTGGCGGGCCCGAGCTGTGTCGCGGCGCCCCCAGTGCGACTGCCTCCCCCTCCCGATCGCGTCACACTCAAGGTCCAAAGATGGTGTGCGCACTTGTCTGTGGTCATTTACCATTATAATGAATGGGAGGCGCAGTTTCTACCAAAACACTAGGTGCAGACAAACTACATGTCCTATATGAAAAAAGTCTGGACCATGAAGACCATTTCATTGAAAATAATGGTTTTTAACCCTTTAAGAGCCTATTCAAGACATAAAGTCACTAATATAGCAAAAATTTGAGCCTTTTAACTTTTTCTGTAGCATCAGATTTAATAGACAACTCCCTTTGGCGCCCCTCAGTGGCCAAAACGACTCTGTCTGCTGTAAAATCAAATTGGGTTGATATTTTTCCAGATTTTTTTTTGTACATCTCTTTTTTTACTTCTGCCCTGTTCACAACTAGCAAATGTTTCATTGAATTTTTTTTTTAACCCTTTAAGAGCCCATTTAAGACATAAAGTCACTAATATAGCAAAAATTTGAGCCTTTTAACTTTTTCTGTAGCATCAGGTTTAATAGAAAGCTTCCTTTGGCGCCCCTCAGTGGCCATAAGTACTTTGTCTGCTGTTAATAGTCAATTCCCTTTGGCGCCACTCAGTGGCCAAAACAACTTTTAGGAATGGGGATTTTTGTGTCATCTTTGGCGCCCCCTAGAACGTAAACGGTGGGGTTCAGCGTCATGATTTTTACAACTTTGAATGGCCATGGGGTGTAGATTGGCCTGAGCAAATTTGGTGTCAGTGGGACGAAAGCCTTAGAAGGAGTTAGCCACATTCCAATGTGTGCGAATCGGCAAAAAATGCGAAATAAACCTTTAACCGTACATTTTACAGATACGTGCCCATTGACTTTTTCGTAGATGTTATTGAGATACACGTGTGTGTCAAATTTTGTGTCATTTTGACAAAGCGTATAGGTGTGACACTCAACAATGTGTATTTTCACCTTAGGGGACAAGAAAAAATGGACTTTTTTCTCCTCCCATGGGGGGGGGCGCTCTTTTGGGGAGTAAAAATTCCTTCACAAATGTGTTGATGGCTGGACATTGCATCATCCTACAAAACTTGGAGGCCAGTGAGGACAAAAATAAAAAGTTATAAGACTTTTAAGAACGTGGATTTTTGGGTTATCTTTGGCGCCCCCTAGAACCTAAACCGTGGGATGCAGCGTCATGATTTGTACAACTTTTAATGGCCATGGGGTGTAGATTGGCCTGAGCAAATTTGGTGCCAGTGGACCGAAAGCCTTCAGAGGAGTTAGCGAAATTCCAATGTGTGCGTATGGGCAAAAAATGCGAAATAAACCTTTAACAGTACATTTGACAGATACGCCCGCGCTGACTTTTTCGTAGATCTTATTCAGATACACGTGTGTGTCAAATTTTGTGTCATTTTGACAAAACGTACAGGCATCAGGTGAATTTTTCACCTCAGGGGGGCGCCATTTTGCATTTTATTGTTTGGGCGACTTCAGAATATCGAATTTTTCACCAGGCCCGGTCGTCCTGCCAAATTTCATGAGTTTTCGCCAATGGGAAGTGGGCCATTTTCCAGTTTAAAGCGGAGGAAAAATAATAACTAGGGCCCCGGTGGGGCACTGGCGGGCCCGAGCCGTGTCGCGCCGCCCCCAGCGCGACCGCCTCCCCCTCCCGATCGCGTCACACTCAAGGTCCAAAGATGGTGTGCGCACTCTTCTGTGGTCATTTACCATTATAATGAATGGGAGGTGCAGTTTCTACCAAAACGCTCGCTGCAGACAAACTACATGTCCTATTTGAAAAAAGTCTGGACCATGAGTGAGGGCACAAACACAGCTAAGATATATCCAAATGGCAAGTTGCTCCTCTTTTCGGTTTTGCCGAGAGAGCGATGCGTTTGAGCCATTGAGCGATGGGCAGGAACAACTTGACTTTTTAAAGGAAAAGACCCTTTTTCTTCATCGGCGTTTGCTGTTCTTCCTGCCAGTGCATGTTGCTTTCACTTGCACTTGCCACAGCCAGCCTCGTGAGTGCCTAGCCTATTGGATATCACTGTCACCTACACAGGACAGTCATTACCTTTCTATTAATACTTTGTTTTTTAATTTCACATTAATTTCCATATTGTCTAAACGACTGGAAAAAACTTGAGCCCCTGCCCCTGTATAATCATGTGCACGTCCCTGTTCTAGCTCCAAGGTGAATCTTCACTGCTCATGTTCTCCTCAGAAGCAGTCACCTCACTCCCCTCAGGTTACTGTACACATGCACCAACTGCCTGCTTCAGGTTTGGATGGAGCTTCATGGTTGTCTTTTGGAGAAATGAGCAGTCAAGTTGTGTTTGAAATTTCATTTTTTTCAGGGGCAAAAGGAAGCCTCTGCATTGTTGTCAAATATGTAAATAGCATGTTTTTGCAGGTGCTAAAAAACAGACTCTGAGTGTGTATGTGTGTGTGTGTGTGTGTGTGTGTGTGTGTGTGTGTGCGTGTGTGTGTGTGTCTGTGTGTGTGTGTGTCTGTGTGTGTGTATCCTGCAGTACTCTGTACTCCTGCAGTGGCCAAAACGACTTTTAAGAATGTGGATATTTGGGTCATCTTTGGCGCCCCCTAGAACGTAAACCATGGGGTGCAGCGGCATGATTTTTACAACTTTGAATGGCCATGGGGTGTAGATTGGCCTGAGCAAATTTGGTGTCAGTGGGACGAAAGCCTTAGGAGGAGTTAGCCACATTCCAATGTGTGCGAATCGGCAAAAAATGCAAAATAGCCCTTTTACCGTACATTTGACAGATACGCGCGCATTGACTTTTTCGTAGATCTTATTGAGATACACGTGTGTGTCAAATTTTTTCTCAATATGACAAAGCGTACAAGCGTGAATCTCAACAATGTGTATTTTCACCTTAGGGGACAAGAAAAAATTGACTTTTTTGACCTGCCATGGGGGGCGCTCTTTTGGGGAGTAAAAATTCCTTCACAAATGTGTTGATGGCTGGACATTGCATCATCCTAGAAAACTTGGAGGCCAGTGGGGACAAAAAAAAAAAGTTATAAAACTTTTAAGAATGTGGATTTTTGGGTTATTTTTGGCGCCCCCTAGAACCTAAACCATGGGGTGCAGCATCATGATTTGTACAACTTTGAATGGCCATGGAGTGTAGATTGGCCTGAGCAAATGTGGTGCCGGTGGAACGAAAGCCTTCGGAGGAGTTAACGAAATTCCAATGTGTGCGGATCTGCAAAAAATGCGAAATAACCCTTTAACCGTACATTTGACAGATACGCCCGCACTGACTTTTTTGTAGATCTTATTGAGATACATGTGTGTGTCAATTTTTGTGTCAATATGACAAAGCGTACAGGCGTGACAGTCAATAGTGTGAATTTTCACCTTAGGGGGCGCTATGGAGCCATTTTGCATTTTATTGTTTGGGCGACTTCAGAATATCGAATTTTTCACCAGGCCCGGTCGTCCTGCCAAATTTCCTGAGTTTTCGCCAGTGGGAAGTGGGCCATTTTCCAGTTTAAAGCGGAGGAAAAATAATAACTAGGGCCCCGTTGGGGCACTGGTGGGCCCGAGCCGTGTCACGCCGCCCCCAGCGCGACCGCCTCCCCCACCCGATCGCGTCACACTCAAGGTCCAAAGATGGTGTGCGCACTTGTTTGTGGTCATTTACCATTATAATGAACGGGAGGCGCAGTTTCTACCAAAACGCTCGCTGCAGAAAAACTCCATGTCCTATTTGAAAAAAGTCTGGACCATGAGTGAGGGCACAAACACAGCTAAGATATATCCAAATGGCAAGTTGCTCCTCCTTTCGCTTTTGCCGAGAGAGCAGTGCGTTTGAGCCATTGAATGATGAACAGGAAAAACTTGACTTTATTCTCCTGCCATGGGGGGCGCTCTTTTAACGAGAAAAAACTCCTTCACAAATGTGTTGATGGCTGGACATTGCATCATCCTAAAAAACATGGAGGCCAGTGAGGACAAAAATAAAAAGTTATAAGACTTTTAAATATGTGGATTTTAGGGTTATCTTTGGCGCCCCCTAGAACCTAAACCGTGGGGTGCAGCGTCATGATTTGAATAACTTTTAATGGCCATGGGGTGTAGATTGGCCTGAGCAAATGTGGTGCCGGTGGAACGAAAGCCTTCGGAGGAGTTAGCGAAATTCCAATGTGTGCGAATCTGCAAAAAATGCGGAATAACCCTTTAACCGTACATTTTACAGATACGTGGCCATTGACTTTTTCGAAGATCTTATTGAAATACACGTGTATGTAAAATTTTGTGTCAATACGACAAAACATACAGGCGTAGCACTCAACAATGTGTATTTTCACCTTAGTGGACAAGAAAAAATGGACTTTTTTCTCCTGCCATGGGGGGGCGCTCTTTTGGCGAGTAAAAATTCCTTCACAAATGTGTTGATGGCTGGACATTGCATCATCCTAGAAAACTTGGAGGCCAGTGGGGACAAAAATAAAAAGTTATAAGACTTTTAAATATGTGGATTTTAGGGTTATCTTTGGCGCCCCCTAGAACCTAAACCGTGGGGTGCAGCGTCATGATTTGAATAACTTTTAATGGCCATGGGGTGTAGATTGGCCTGAGCAAATGTGGTGCCGGTGGAACGAAAGCCTTCGGAGGAGTTAGCGAAATTTCAATGTGTGCGGATCGGCAAAAAATGCGAAATAACCCTTTAACCGTACATTTGACAGATACGCCCGCACTGACTTTTTTGTATATCTTATTGAGATACATATGTGTGTCAATTTTTGTGTCAATATGGCAAAGCGTACAGGCGTGACAGTCAACAGTGTGAATTTCCACCTTAGGGGGCGCTATGGAGCCATTTTGCATTTTATTCTTTGGGCGACTTCAGAATATCGAATTTTTCACCAGGCCCGGTCGTCCTGCCAAA